TTGGTGCTGGTGAAGAAAACAGTAATTTGCACACTGAGATCCTTAGTTGCAGGATCACTTATTTTGAGGCAAGTTGCTTACTTTTAGAGTAACCTCAAGGCTGCTCTAACTCAATTTGCAGGACTCTTATCATGTACAGCCAATCTAGAATTACAAAATTTAAATGTGGTTTTCAGGTACTTTTTGAATCATCGCCATAGAGTATGCTCTATCAGTTCAGTAGAATGTCTGAACTTGTCTATTTGAATTGGAAACAGAGATTATACTTTCATATTTGATAAAACTTCCTTGCTGGATGTGCTGCCAAAAAGTATGAAACAACATTGAGGAAAGTAAAGAGGAGGTTAAATTAAATTCCTCATGAATGGTACTGAGTCATTTACCAACAGCTACTGCACAGTGGTAACTGAAACTTATCCTGGCTTGCTGTCTATATGGAAGTTACCTGGGTAGCTCGCAAAGATTTGCTTTCTAAGTGCTAATACAGCAGGTAAAGGTGTTTTCTGTTGGGGTTTTTTAGATCAGTCTGCCTTGAATATATTTTTTGGACTAATTTTAAGTCATAACATGCAAAAGAACAGCCATTAAATAATAACACTACAGGTTTCCCTCGCTTTGTGCTGTACATGCATTCCTGGAAAATGGCCCAAAAAAGGGAACCTGCTTTACAATGTAACAAATAGGGATACATTCCAAGACCTCCATTACACTGATCCCCAGACCAATTTCTACCACTTTATAAGACAATTTTCGTACTTACCAACAGCAGACAGGCGGCTGCCGCTGTGATTTGCACCCAGCTACGGCTGCCCCAGGAGCGATGCCCCTGGGCTGCGCTGCACTCCCTGCCAGCCTGGTGGCGGGACGCACATGGTGTTGCACTGCTCCTGGGGCAGCTGCAGGAGCACAGGCACCAGCTACCCTGAGCAACGAGTTTCCAGCACGCTCGCATAAGACTGAATTTACCTCTCATAAAACAAATTTTTGGTATAAAAAGGGTCATGGCATAAGAGCAATGGGAACCTGTAATTAGAAAAATCTGGGTTTTACTGAAGCAAAAGAACTATTATCCCTTTTAAAGCATTTTTACAGAAAGGCTTTATATAAATTGTTTGTAGCATGTAAGTAGTACAAAAACATAGGAAGTCTTAAAGTTCACTGTTGTTTAGCAGTCTCATGTAGGTTAGGAAATCAAAGTATAAATAAGTACCTTCTACAAGAGGGTAACTGAAAGCTTCACAGTGTAAAGTATTACCTTCCTGCTGAGATAATAGAGCAGCAGGCATAATCTCTGAAAAACCTGTTGGGGCTACATGCTTAAGAATAACTTCATGATTTATCAAAACAATGGAAGATGGGCATCTTCACGTTGAATATACAAGCAGTTTTATGGCTCTAAAAACCTGTTTCATACGTCACCCTGTTTATTCTCATTATCATGCCTGGCTTTACAAGTGCAACTTGCGTTCCAGTGTTCTTGCTTGCAGACCTTTTCCCTATAAATGTCAGGGAAATAAATTCATTTTCATTCAACTCGTCTTCATAAATTGTCCAATAATCATTGTATATACCACTCAGCAGCAAGCTCGCTATAAGGCTTTGATTTATGAGATCATTCCTTTCCATTTTAGCTTCATCAACCATAAAGTTTTCAAAGTTTTTTTTTTTTTTATTAACTAGACAGAAATTGATCACAAACCTAGGACCCAGAAGAAGGGATGCAAAATGATTGCATCTTAAAGGGAGTCATCAGGATGAGGAAATTGGAATGGCTTAGCTTAATTCCTGAGGGTGCAAATTGAGGGTGTATTGCTGCAAGTCCCCTTCCTCTACTACCCTATTTTGGTGGTGCTCGTTGTGATAAACTGAGATCATTCTTTGAGGTCTGAGGAGAGCTAGTTTGGTGGTAGCCTGCTATGGCTTTGCTGGGGGAGAACAGATTCACTTCATGTCTATAGGAGCTGTCTTGCCCAGGCTGCCCAATTACATTTGATTACGTTGATGAATCTCTCTAAGTTCCTTTGAATCTGTTTGCTGGGTCTGACTGCCCAGCAGAGAGGATTTGCTTTCTTTGCCATCTTAATTACTCTTTGCTTCTGTCTGTGGCAGTTGGAGTGCTCAAGGCATCCTTGTTGCGCTTCTGTATCTAGTGTTGCCAAGCTTTTATTTGTGGATCTGGTTTTCTCATTTCTCTTTTTGCAGGGCGGAAAGTTCCTTCAAAATAGTCCATTAGAAGGAGCAGACTGCCTTTCCAAGGCTAACCATCACATAAGAGCACAGAACTGGAAGGGACCTCCTGAGTCATCAGGTCCAGTTGCTTCTCTGGCAGAAAGCCACGTTGTGTTGTAGCTCATTTGTTACATTTTCAAGCTTCATCTCAAAACTAGTGACGTTTGCCCCTACTGTTCCTATTGAAGGCTATTCAAGAACTTCATTCTTCAAGGGGCTAGACACCTAATTTTTAGCCTATATTTTTATGGCCATTTCTTATTCAATATTGTCCTTTCATTGTCGGTGGCAGTTCCTGAATCTGAGGATGACTTTTCCAATAAATACAAAAGTAATTGATAAGTCCATAAATGACTGAGGAGGCCGATCCAAGACATGCATGTTTGACTGCAGACAAGGCAAATAGTTTCAAAAGGCAGAAGTAGATCCTGGTGATGTCAGGTCACAGCTCTTTCCCTTTTTCTTCCTTCTATCCACCTCTATAGGAAGGTGTTTGCTCAAAATGACTGATGCTTTGTTGTACATCATTGTGTGCTTGGGACCAGTTTAGTGCTTGAATCTCCCAGGTATTGATATTACTATCTCAGATTCTTAAGTTTGGCCTTCTGAGTGTCCTTGACTCCCTTCTTTTTGCCCACACCTAGAATGATAACTGTTGATTTGTGAGTGTGAGACCTATTTTGGGAGGTAGTTGGTAGGCATCCTTATGACACATCCTGTTCAATGGAACTTATGCCATATAAATGTGACTTTGGTTGTGGTGTTTGCTTGAGCCAGGACACTGGTGTTCTTTCTTTTTCTTTCTGGCTGATTGTGGAGAATTTTCCAAAGACATCGCTGATTGTAACTTTCCATGGGGTTAGGGATAACAACAGCCTGGTAGATGAGGATTTTGGTTTTGGTCCTGATGTCTTGACTATCAAAGACATGGTTTCAGACATGTTCAAAGGCAGTCCTAACTGATTTTATCCAGTGCTGAATATTGTTGTCTGCATTTACTTGTTTGGGAGAGGTGGCTACCCAGGTAGGGGAAATGCTTAATGTTCTCCAAGGATTGCCCTCTACTGTCGTATGTGGAGGAGCACCTCATTGGTTTGTGGTGGATTGGTAAAGTACCTTGTTTTTCATGAAGTTGACAGTGATTCCAAGCATAATTTAAGGATGGGACAACCCCCTTGAAGGATGGCTCCAGCATCAATGCATGGTAGAAGGAGCACTTTCAACAGCTCCTGAACTGAGCTTCTCATGTCAAAGACAATGTGATCAAAGTCATTCCATAACATCCCTTTAAGGTCTACCTTACAGATCTACCAGTTTACTGAGGGCTTGAAACCCATTAAGCAGGTGAAGAACAACAAAGCATATGGTCCTGATGAAATAAATACCAGCTGAAATGTATAAGTAAGGTAGAAAAAAGCCCTCTCACCAACCACATGTTGTTATGAAAATTTGGAAAAATGAATCAGAGATGTACAGCATAAGCTTTCATAGCTTTATGGCTTGCTTCATCAGGTGCTGTGAAGGGACTGCAGAAAGCAGTTTTTTAAGTAGAAAGCAGTGATTAGAATACAAAGGGTAGGGAAGGGCAGGGGGAGGAAAAAGGTGGCATCCTACCCACCTTGCCTCTCAGAAGTGGATTAAACACATCTGCATTCACCACACTAGGGACTTGCAGAATTATTTATGCGTGAGAAGTAAACCAAAATCAGTTAAATACAGTATATGTCAGTAGTCTGAGTGTCTGCAGGAAAGAAAGAGGGTCACTGGAGAATTTAGACCAGTCATTTTGCATTAAATTTGACTCCGGACTTCAGTTAAATAAGTGTAATTGGCTGCAACGTCTAAAATCAACAGTAACAGTTTTGGGGTTTGGTTTAATTCCATATGCAAAGGGTCTGAACTAGATTAAATTTTCATCTGGCATAAAGTAACATAGCCGAATCAGTCCAGGTTGAGGAATGCACAAAACAGAGTACCAAGAACACAAAATAAAGGAGTTCTTTCCATTTCTTTCAGTTTTGTGTACTTGTATGGTGTGTGACCTAGAAAAGCATTTTTTTAAATGAAGCATACCACTGCTGTTTCAAAGGAATACTGTTTCCATCCTTCCATCCACTGTATCTTTGCTTTTCTCCACACTATCACCTGTACACAGGAACACCACCCTGAATCCATCAGTGAGGCAACTACCATTTTCATCTTCTCTACCACCAACCCTGAAAAACTTAAGCTTGCAAATAATATTCATTACCATTTAATGAGATTAAAGCCCTATTAGAGAGAAAGGAGTTGTTTGTATTTGTTTGACATGTAGCACACTGGGATTCAATCTGGAAAAGGAACTGTGTACATTCATAAACACTATACTAATCTGAACCCAAGCAGAGGAGAAGAAGCCTAATCCCTCTCTTACCTTTTTGCTACCTGGTTAAATTACATTGAAATTAGTAGGACTTTACCAGGCAGCAGGTGCTGAAAAGATCAGGCACCAGATTTGAAGTGTATCTCATATACAATGGCTCATTTAAAATAAGATTTGTTTTGTAAAAATAATCTTCAAAGTATCAGGCCATGCTGTACACCTGATTATAGAATCATCTCTTCCTAGCTGTATTCCTTGCCTTGGTTTTAACGATCACTTGTGCAAAGATCTCTTGTGCAAACGCTTCCATTTTGACCAATAATGGGAGGAGGGAGGGCAGGAGGCTGATCTAGGTTTGTATGGGTTACCAGGAAACGTTTGTAAGCACCAAGAAAAAGGAAACAAAGGACTTCACTGTTCCTGTAAATATGGCCTTAAGTTTAAACTCTCTTTCCTCTAGAGGAAAAGTGTTACAACTTAGCAAATGTGTGTGGGAAAGATAATGGAGTTCTAATCACTACATTAAATAGCACATTATTAGTGAGAAGGTAAGCAAAATGTATTTTCAATAACTGACTTTCTAATGCATATTCAGATGCCAACTATAAATGTAAATTTACTTTCTGTATTAGTTACTTACAATCAGAGGAGTTATTGTACCTTATGGTGCCTGGGAGTAGTTTTCTAACACTGCTATTTACTGAAAAAAAATAAAAGTCAATATTTTAAAGCATTTTAACTGGCTTATTTAAACAGATATTCTGTTTTCAATTTTTTTAACTACTTGGTTGCATAGCTGGGGCTACCAGACTTCTACACAATAAACCTTTTTTTGTTTTTTTTTCTTCAAGGACAAGTGTTGAGAATAAACTTAAGTGCCTGAAGATGGTAACCAAAGTGAATCAAGCATGAGCTGTAATCATCTTTCGTTTAAAGATTCCCAGTCCTGTGCTGGGTGCCGGACTTCAGGGAAAACCATAATGAAAACTGAGCAACTTGAAAATAGACTAAGTATTCATGATTTTATGAAAATACAGGACACTTTTATGGTAAGCATCTCTTCTAATTAAAATGTTAATTGAAAGGGTTTTGCATTTTTATAAAAGAAGCACGGAGGTATTTTCACTGATGCTTGCATCACTGCATGGTACTAACAAAAGTGCGTGTGCATTTCTGTGTCCGGAGAAGAAACGGGCAGATTTCTCTTAGCTGATTTGGATCTGAGGTTAGAAATTTCAGGCAGGTGAAAAAGTAATATGGAATAATATATTGCTATCTGGGAAGGAGAAAAAAGAAGTACCTAATAATCTCAATGCCTAAAATAAGGCAACCAAGAAAGGTTTATCAGACCTTGCCAGGGGTATCTTTAAATAACATTCCCATACATATTCAACATGACAACCCCTGCTCTAGGCAAACAATGGGCCATTAAGCTAGCATTAGTATTCAGGAGACCATGGTGCTTATCAGTGTAGCCACAAACTCAGACAACTGCTGATCACAATTAGAGATGGGCTAGAACTGGGAACACAAACCACCTTGAATCGCTGGCAATTTCAGGCAGATTCTGTGTCTTAGATCTACGTTGATATACATAAACCGGCTGTCTTGGTTCTGTGCATGTTGATATGCAGGTGCCAGCACATGTATGCTTATTGTTTGATTCTGAATTGATTCATGACTTTTCTTGGGTCAGATACCCATCTAAGTTACATAGTAAAATGGAGATCATGCCTTTTGACTACAATGAACTATCTTCATAGTTCTTCTGGATTTATGTCATGTAAATGAAATCAGAATTTAACTTGCTTATTTTACAGTTCCTTTGGAATCCTAAGGTCTGTTGTTGGAGTGCATCAGGGGAACATTTCCACTAAAAAGAGTGCCATTTTGGTGTAACTCAGCTGTCTTAAAACTGTGCTGTGTACTGGTGTACGAGGTGCCTGTCCAGGTCGTATGGGCAGGTTCTTCTCCCCAGCTAATAGAGGAATTATGATTTTTTTAAAAATCTTGATGTCTTGCACTTCCTGGTGTCATATGGAGCTGCAAGTGAGAGAGCTCACAAACTCCACTGAAAATATAGAAAAATAGTTGGTCATCCCTGGTATGGCATTTTTGACATGGCAACAACAAAGGAAGAGTGATACTGAGACTGGGCTGCAAAACCCAAATAGTCCTTTCCATGCAGAGCTCCCAGGTCAATTCTTACATTGAGGGGAAAGAGATGACACAGTGGAAAGAAATGTCCATGTGACTTCTGCTGTTTGGAGATTAAATCCTCGTAATTCAGAGCTTGTTAAAACCTGATTCTGAATTCAGCACAGTGAATTGGCCAGATTATCGTATTTATTCTGGGAGACTTTACTGAGAGCTGCCAGGAGTGTTGTGGAATTGTATATTTCTTGTGCTTGGCCCCAATGCCTCATCCTGGTGCCGTTAGTGCCCTATGGAAGAGGAAATTCAACAACAAAGAGAAAATATCAATTCTCATTGTAATGCTGTGTGGGTCTTTTCTCACTTACAGTGTTGTTAACCTGAAATACTGGTCAAAGATAGAGACACACCCATGCAAAAGTGGCTTAAGTGAGTGAAGCATCTCTGTAAGAGATGCCAGACAACTTAAGCCTGTTTGAATCGAGGGCCGGCTAAACCACAAATTCCATTCCGCAAAATACTTTGTGGTTTCAGAATCTGTTTCCTTGTTGAGGTGCAACAAAACTGAACTCTTTCATGATGAGATGGGGGGTGGAAACTAATTACACCAGAATCATAAATAGCTTAGTAGTAAGGTTGTTTACCTGGGAAATGGCAGATCTAAGTTTAAGTTCCTGCTCTGATCCACTGGTGTAGCTGCTGCTCATCAAAAATACCAGCCTGCACTTGGAAATCCCTCCTGAGGACAGATTAACTGAAAGGGATACATTTCCCCCACAGCTTTGGTGTCGGTGAATCAGTCTTCTCTGCTAAAAAAAAAAATCTCTTTTCTTGAAAAATTCCTGAGCTGCATTACTTGCAAAAGAAACCTCTCTGGCTGTATCTTTACAGAAAACTTACCATTCCCAGCCACGGTGCCTGTGGGCATGCTACACTGCACTGGGGCTGCTGCCTCCTAAGCCAGGCGCACTCTGTGAAGTACTTAGCAGTCCTAATTATCCCACCTAAATGACAGCTGCTTAGTCAGTCCATGCTGATACAGTCATATTGCTTCTGGCTTAGAAAGCAGCCTCCTTAGGCAGTGCAGTTGCTTGAGGGTCCTGCCACGACAAGCAATACGTTGACTGTGTAGATACAGTTTATGGAAATTAAAAGGTGAAGGGAGAAAGAAAAATCTGAGATGATCCTTACTTCCATTTTATATACTGCTGTGAATAATGAAGGTTTTCAAGCAATTCCAGCACCACTGGAGTTTAGTTTTGGGAGAGCATCTGACTATGAACTCCACGGGTGATCCAAACTGGCCTTTTTGGAAGATAAATACATTTTGTCCATTGTATTAGATTGTAGAGACAAGATTCCACTTTTTGCACAATGGAAGAGCTTTGTCTTATGAATGACGAGCAATAAAATCAGCTGAAGATAAAGTGAAGATCAACTTGTTGACTTGTCTTTGTCTGCAGGTAATTCTCACGAACACACCAAGTCACGATAAGCACTATTTGGAAGGAGCTCGCCCTCGCAGGGGGTGGCACCCAGGAAAAGTTCAGTTGAAGCAACTATTGTAATCACATCCTTTGTTAGACCTGAATTAAACCACAAGCCTGACATGCTGGAAAAGAATCAAAGATCCAAGGCATCATTTTGGCCAGCTCTTCTTTATTGAGGGGTCAAGTATGATGTTTGACCTGACAGCTGTGCTTTACCTGCAAAAACGCTGAGCTCAGCCAGCCATGCTTGTACCCTTTCAGTGCTTGCCTAATTGTCTAGTGTCTTCATTTACTCAGTTACTGATACACATGCAAAAAGAGACCAATTTAAATATATGGTATCCATCCATCATTTTCTCTGATACAGAATATAGATTACACATACATAGCAAGGCAGAGACAGACAGGAATCTGGCAGTAATATATTAACTGTCTGGAGACCATTTACTTAGTGCTTGCGACACAAAATGGTCATTTTAACTCCACAGGCTATAAAGTGGTCTATGAGTACAGCTCTTGCTTTTACAGCAAACAGCACCTGGGGCCTTTGGGTCTATGCTCAGAGCAGATGGACAGGACCACATATGGAAACCCTTTTTGATTGCTGCCATGCTGTGCGAGGCAACAGCCTTAGCCCAGGGGCATAATTTTTAGTGCCGGCTTCATATTTGTTTCCACATTGTTCTGGTCCTGTGGCCATTGAGGCTGTTTAAAATGGATGGACTTCATTTTATGCAAGGTACACCTGCAAACTACAATTTATTTTCATAGCAGCAGTCATTGGACTTCCTTTTGTATGTGTTCAGCCTATGAGCTTCAATATCTAGTCCTCTCCAGACTATCAGTCTCTGTCCTTTGAGCCTATACTTAGGAACAAGTGAAATAGTGCCTCACTTAAAATGCTTAAAGCGCATAGACTTTACTATGGCTATGGTCTGTTGGCCACCTACTGGCATTTCTGTTCATCATATCTGTCAATCTGGATCAGTTTTCTGGAATTCAGTTTTTAAAGGATCTCAGTTTTGTGTTTTGACTTTTAAAATCTAATGCTGTAATTTCAGGTTATTTTACAAAGATGCTTTGGAATTTTCTGGGATTATTTTTGTGAAACATAGAAGCAAATTTCAGTCCAACTACAATTTGTGCTTTTATAAATTATGCTTACAAATGAATTAACTCAAATATTATTATATCTGGCTGTACTTATATCCACCAAAGTCCATCAGGAGAAAAGGACAAAAAAGAATACTAAGACTAAGTTTTAGATTTGCTTTTTTCATTTGGGTCATCCAAAATAAGAGACTATCCACAACGTTGTTTTATTGCGTGTTTCCAATTTTGCATAGCTCAGTATTGCATGTTAATTAGCTGACATACAAGCAACTTTCTACAAAAGAAAATGGGAATTTTGACCTCTACCTGAGTGGAAACAGGGTCAGACCCTAGGTTTCTGATTCATTATGTGCATGCACTGGCATGGAGATAGTGGGCGAGGATTCCCAGAACTTTCCATACAGGACTTTGTTTTTAGTTGCTGTTAATTAGTCAGACATTGCCAAACTGTGCAGAATGAAATGTGCCAAGCTAGCTTATTTGAAAAGCTTGGACAAAAACAACAGTGCAGTCATTCCTAAGAATGGGATTAAGAAAAAATGCACTGTTTTCCCATGCCATAAAAATTCTCTCTCAGAAAAACCCTCAGGCTTTGAAGAAAGCAAGGGGTTATTACCATTTGTCCAAACATACCACTTAGACAAACAGAACGTGATAGCGTCATTATCATAATATATATGCACATAGGGGACAATTAAGTTTGCACAGGTTACCTTAACGCCAGCATTTCTTAGCTTTTGCATGCTTGACTTGGTAAACTTAACAGTATCTTTTCAGTGCCTTTTTGGGTGTAATATAAATCTGAATCAGTAAACAGTGGACTCTAATGATACCTATTTCTCATTTGGCCTGCAAGGAATGTGGTTGGGAAATTGATTAAACCTCTAATTGCTAAATGCCCTTTTGATTGCCTTTGGTATGCCCTAGCATTACAGTGTAATGCAGTTGGAACTTAAATTATTTTTATATTGATTGTACAATATTGTTGCTTTGCTGAAATGACCTTTTTGCCACACAGCAATGGGCTATCCAAGTCCCCTAATATTTCAGTCAGGGAAACCAGACATCTTTTGTTGAATTAGATAACAAAACACACAAAAGAGGAGGACTTTGATTTTGCATGTATTTTATCCTCAAGCTATTAAATGGGACTTCAGAAATCCTGTGCATAATTTATTCCTAAATGATTTGCCTTTTAATGCCTCTATTTGATCAGGGCTGCCATTTTAATGATGACCCAACAAAGATGTCCCATTTGACTATGCAACATAGGTCAAAAGAATCAGCTTTAC